ATAGCATTAAAAACATAGGTGATGACTATAATCTAAGAGCTCCTCACTTTTCTCAATTTATTCCATAGAAATAACTTAAACAGATGGTAACTTAAACGGCAACACTGTAACCTATAACAGATCTCTTGATGAAGCAGTTAGATTTCCTTCTATTGCTCAAGGGGATTCTTCATTTCTTTGTGTCTCACTTTTTGGAAATGTCTCTGTTGGCTAGTGTCAAGCCTATAACTCCTACATACCCTTCTGCACTGGGGCTTAAACCCATGCCAGGCAAGTTCTCTACCACAGAGCTCCACCCTCAGCTCCCTAACCACTCTTACAGGGTCTTCATATAGCAGATCATCATAGCAGGTGAGGCTTTCTTGCTTTTTTCTACAAAAGCAGTAGATTCCCAATTTAGTAAGTTCCCAAGACCCATGCTTACAATGTCACTGAGCCATAGTGTCACCCATGGGATCCTATAACAAGGAAGCTGGCACAAATATGCTGATGCTGCAGCTGCTCGCAAAGTCTTGTGTCTTTTGCCAACATCTAAGACATACTAACAGGCCCATGCAGCGGGGTAAACTCTAGACCTGAAACACAACAGAAATTATCTTTGTCCTCAGATTAACTCCCTGGAATATTGTATATCTGTGCTCCAAATGAAGCAACCCCAAAAGTATGCTCAAAAGTATGATGCACTGTAGGATATGGAACAGATCCTAAATGTTTTTGCAAAGTAACAGAAAACAAAGGAAGTACTGATGGGAATGGGTGTGTGAAGTAACATGGAGAACATATGGAAAGGGAATTCTTACAGGGAGAAATGGAAAACACAGGGAAGGCAGAGTTAGACATGCAGGAGTAGAAACCACTGCAGGTTCTGAGCAGGGCATCAGTGTGATCATAATTTTATTTAGAATGATTAATCTGAAAGGTAGGCAGTGAATTTTGGGGAAGGGGATCCAAATGACTGCCATGAAGAAATGTAGTGATTCAAGTGTAAAGGAAAAAAAGGTTGAACTGAGTAGGAAATGGAGGCATCAAGAATAACCTGGTCACGGGCCAGCCAGATAGCTCAATGGATTAAAGCACCTGCTTAGGCAGATGCAGGGACCAGTGTTGGATCCAATCCCGAGACAGGATGTAGTGGCGCGTACCTGTAATCCTGGCACTGAGCCTGATCTGTGTAGTGAGAACCTGTAGACCCTGTACTAGATACAGGAAAAAAAAAGAAAGAAGAAGAAAGAAGAAGAAAGAAG